CCTTAACACAAACTGGTTAATGATTCAAGGAAACTCACATTGAGTGAAAAAAAAAAGAGAGGATGAGATGAGTATTACATATTTCGATCTCCAACTGAGGTCCTCTTCAGTAGATATTTGCTGAAGAGGACCTTAGTTGTTGGCCGGAAAATACACTACTCTTACTCAAGTAGAGTGGTATGAACAGTTAAATATGGTCTCTCGTTATTATTGGATGGAAGATCGAGCCTCCACAACCCGTCCTGAATGATCAACACACCTAGTGTTGTATACTACTACTACTACTACTACTATTACTATTTAATAATAAATCTTCTCGCCCTCTCTAATTTTCTGTGGCTTCGTTTGTAATTGTACATGAGCAAACCCCTTTTTTTTTTTTTTTACTCTGTAGCGGAAATTGTATTGGTGTCCATCCAGTTCATTTACAATGAAAATAAGCTTACACGGAAGGTTTAGTCAAAGTCGAGCAGCGCAAACACTGGTTCTCAATGCTTCTCCCCTTATCCCCCCTCCCCCGGGACAAAAAAACCTTGTATCTTACTCCCTCATATGACATAAATACACAAGTTATTAATTATAAATATTAATTTCCCTCTGCCAGGATATGGTTTTATTCAAGTGAATTTATTTTATTAAGAATGAGATGCATCTATCGCAAGGTTCTGATTTGTATATTATCAACCACGGTACAGGTGGCTTTCGAACGCATAGCGTGGGAGTCTTAAAACTCTAGGCCAGTGTGCAAGCCACTGACCATGGGCTCAGATCCCACCCGTACCATGGTTCGCAATCGTGTCATTACGATTTGTATATTATGCAGGGTGTGTTATATGTCAGTAGGGGAAGGGGTAATAAACGGCAGTGATAATAACAGACGTGAAATTCTCAAAAGCAGAATAATGTTGTAGCGTAATACGGGCAATTTCTTTGGTATTAAAAATAAATGGAAGTTAATCTAAGCGGCACTTAGACGAGTTGTCCTATTGCGGGTCTCCCTTGACTCTGCGGTCGGCGGTACAGGAAATGTGTATAATTTCCACTTATCATGGCAGAGACAGGATGCATGAGCAATCAACAGCTTCATAAATTTTAACCCTAAGTGCAAAAATATACGTTTTCTTTGCTTGAGTATAGAGAAGGCTCTCATCTTAGACGCTTGCCTGCGAGTCTCAGCTCTCAAATGGGTCTTATCTGGAGAGTATTATAGCTGTGTAACACAAGTTTGCTTTTGGCATTGCTGCGATATAGATCTCTATGTCATTATCGTGCAACTTGTCACACCACTGAAGCTTCTCATGTACAGAGGAAGTCAAATAAGTAAAGCAACATCTATCACACAAAATGTCAGCGTTTACAACTTCCATTGTTCCTGTTGCAGGTTCCGTTGCTCAGGTTAGGTCAGGGAAGTAAGATATAAATCGCGATATAATTGCATTTAACGAGACAACGGCCGCTTCTGACGATGTACTGCGGTAGAAATAGTCGAACAGATAGTATGTCATTAGCTTTACCTCAATAACAAATGCAAGACACCGTCAAGTTCGTTCCGTTACGCAGTCTGGTTCTTAGAGTGGCAAACAGTAACAACCACGGCAGTGAGGACAGACAGTGAATAACAAACACAGACATAAGTTAATGATTCGGGCAAATTAATCATAAATATTATACTCATTTGGAAGCGTTGAGTCCGTAGGGAGTCATACAGCGCCTGGAGAAGACGGTATTTTTTTTTTTAAACTCTTGAATCAAGAGCCCTTCCCCAGCATCAAGGTACCACGCTTGAGGAAAACGAAGTCAATACACGATTCTCCCATCTTTACCCTTAGTCAATATTATGTCGTACATTTCGGTGGTCCTTTCTAGTCTGGAACTTCGAACTTGTTACACGATTTACTCTGAAAGTTAACTATCCTATTGTTCTAAATTATATTTAAATTCAAGTTTAAATATATTTTGGGTGCACTTCATGAAGATTGTGACCACGAGAGTGTTAGAAGAAGTCACTACTGAGTTAAGAAAAAAATAATGACGATTTAAAAAGAGTGAGGAGAAGGATTTAGTAGTGTGTGCAACCTTATACATTATACATAAATGCGCACTTGTAGGAGCTACATAGCATAGATAAACAAAACTACCGCAAAGTTCCTATACTAAGCATGAATCACCTGGTTTATTCTAATAGATTAACATATAACTTTAGTGTATGGTTCACTCAACGAGTAACATAGATATGAACTAGACTAGAGCTAATTTTTAAATTGAATTCTGATTTAATTTTATCAGCGGACTAATAAGACGAGCATCAGCTAATTCGTCATCATTACAACCTGTGGGCTGAGAAACAATCACTTAATGGAACATGATTGCCACAGTCGTCACGAAAGTCAAGACCCGAGCAGCCAGGCACATGCGGCAATGGAATTATTCATCAGTTCTTTTATTTACACATTATCCATCTTTACGGCTTCTTCATTGTTTGCACCACCTTCCCTCTTCCTCCTTCCTGTCCTCCTAAACGCCAACTGTTGTTTTTGTTTTAACTGTTTGAACTTGAGCGGATTTTTTGGACAAAAGCTATTTTATATTAGATTTGGAAAGACGGTTTTGCCGGTTAATGAAATTTTTACCATCAACAAGAAATAAACGAATGTATCAATTTGGGACTATTTTAATGGACGACTAAGGGTGACGAATTTCAAATGCTTAGGAATGGAAGGAATGAGGACCCCAAAAGAAGCACAGTTTACAGACCGCAGACAGATCGCATCATGGAGGGTGAGGAACAGGTAGACAGAACGCGTCATGGAGGAGGAGGAACAGGTGATATACTTGAAATATTTTATATCAGAGGATCTGTAATTTAGAAAACCCAATAAGGCAAATGTAGCAAAGGCCAGGCAAATGACGTTGCTTCTCAAATCACTTTCACTTTCACGACGTTAATATTATTCTATGTCCGTAGTAGCTTTCAAGGCAGGAGATCGAGAGCTGGAAAATATACAGAGGTTGTATGCTGCGGCACAGAATTAATAAAACATGCAAGGTATCGGAAACGCCACAAATCACTTTGATTATTCTCTTTGGAAAAGAGAAGAGAGAGATACTGACAATATACCCATGGAATATACTTGTCAGCCGGATCCGAAAGCTGCCCACTGCTATAACAACTTACCGTAGCAAAGAACATTGTAGAAAGTATGGAATAAAACCAGTGAAGAGCAAGGGTGTCATAGATACCACCTGATATTAGAGAACACTATAGTCCAAGACTCTTCAGTATGCTACTACCTGATATTAGAGAACACTGTAGTCCAAGACTCTTCAGTATGCTACCACCTCATATCAGATACATTGCCGGAATGAAGATATTAGCTTTAAAGAAGCTGAACAGCTTCCTACTGCACTGCACATATATTAACTCTAATTCAAATCGTAATATTATGAGAAATGGATATTTGGAAAAGTTTGATTCATCTCAAATGATACGAAATAAAAACAAAAAGAGGAATGATAATTCAGTGTACAATAAGACTAAACATTACTCCGTCTAATTCAACTCCAGGGAATTTAATCAATTCTAATACTTCGTTCTCTTTTTAGAATTTTTCTGCACAGGATTTCATATAGCTGGGCATTGTTAGAGAGCAAGTGCAGGCAATACGAGAGGCGTAAAACCTTGTATAGTCTTTCACTTTTCAAGTCCCAGTTGTCGACACACTCGTAAAATATTCAAGGGGAAAAAAATCCCTTTCTTTGACAGAGCCTCGAGTGGCTGTTAAGCGCTCGTTGATATTTTCATGCAAATGAGAGAGATAAGAGCGAGGAAGAGATGGGCGAGACTAGGCTGGCTGTCTCTTATATCTCTGTATCAAGCACCCACTGCTTCGTATTCAGCATCTTTATGAAAATGTCATCGTCAGATGGGCGTGACTCGCAGCGCCACTGTGTTAGTGATGAGACACTAACGTCTCCAGTAACGCTGGTGGAGTGACCGAACTTGTGTTGGAGAGAGGATAAGAGATCGTTGCCTCAGACTCCACTTGTGTTTTTCGCTGCACAAGTTGTTTGTCAGGTTGGAAAAAAAAGATGAAATTTTAATTCTTCTAGCTATTGTACCCATGCTATGGACTGTAGTAGCGCCCTATATCCATCTGTGAACAACAGTGGCTAGTTTGTGCCCCTATGTCTATACCGTGGAGGGAAGCTTAACAGCATATGACTTCTAGGTACTAGGCCCTAAAATTGCTTAATAATTTAACATGCTTTAATCGAGACTACCACTGTTAAGGTCTTTAAGATGGTACTTAAACGCTGTTGATTCAAAAATAAGTACTTATGTATTGGGTAACCGTCCCTTCCAAGGGATAAAAATGTTATTTTAGAAACTCCAGCCTTGCTGGAAGTCACATCCTGGGCAAAATACCACTGTTTACGAAAACTCAGTCCTGCTGGAAGTATTCCAGTGTTGGGTAAAAGGTACAAGGGCAATGCTGTGTATCTAATAAAAAAAATGTTGTATAGATAAAACACATTTGGAGACAGCTTTCAGGAAAGCGCTTGAAAGTGCACTATTTTTTTCACAGTGGTGGTTTTGCGTGTATATATGTATATATGTCGTGCCGAATAGGTAAAACTGGTCAATTAGGTTTCAATCTGTAATGATCATTTATCATATGAAAATGTTATCCCAAATATAAACTTCTATATTGTTGTAGGCAGTACGTCATTTGGATCCCCCCGAACCCAAGAAAAAAAAATCTGCCATGTAATGCTTGTGTAAAAAAAAAAAAATAGTTCAGTTCAGACATTGGACACTTTCCCCCAAATGCTCAAATTTACACCAGCATCCCAAACGGATTTCCTAACATACAACTTTTTAATTTATGTTAGCAATTGTAGTGTTAGATAAATACTTTTATGAACGACGCACTTACCTGTAATGACAATGAATAACGAGCAATACATAATGAATATTAAGTAGGTAATGGTTGCCTTACTTGTGTCAGAGTGTATACAGAGATGGAATACAATGATAGTCGAAGATGAGGTAATCAGTCCCTTAGGCTTGCAGAACTATACACTGCGGACATTTCTGTTTACCAGACTCTCATGGTAATGGCACAGTTTGTTTGATCTGTAAAGAAAAATATTCCATATGAATTATAATCTGAAGTGGATCCTACTTTTATTTTTGTCACGATGAGAACGGCAACACAAATATATATATAATATTTTATAATATATATATATATATATATAATATTTTATAATATATATATATATATATATATATATATATATATATATATTATATATATATATATATATATATATTCCTTACCCGAAACCTTTTATGTTCAATGCGTCGTAAATAAGAGAAACATCATAATGCCTAAATGTTAACTTTTCCCAAACAAACTGGAGAGTTATAAAGGAGGATGTACTGATCCTGGGAGAACATGACAATCACTGACGATGCCCCGGAAGTTAGAGTTCAGTTATCTGTATAGACTGATATATTTGACTGACGGTTTGACTGGGAATTTAGAATATTCATCGTATGTAAACAATTGCTGATATCATTAACACTTTGCTGCTCTCCTCAACTTGATACCATCGTGGCATCTTCACGGCTATAATACCGACACTACCGTTGCAAAGCAAGAAAAATAATTGACTTATTCATTTTATATAAAGCATACGAGTTTTTATTAATTTCAAGTCATTGGCCGTAACCACAGAAATGTAGACGAGAGAGAAAACAGCCCAAGCTTCATGACAACCCTCCCCAGCTTCATGACAACCCTCTCCAGCTTCATGACAACCCTCTCCAGCTTCATGACAACCCTCCCCAGCTTCATGACAACCCTCCCCAGCTTCATGACAACCCTCCCCAGCTTCAAGACAACCCTCTCCAACGTCATGACAACCCTCTCCAATTACATATAAACCCTCTCCAGCTTCATAACAACCCTCCCCAGCTTCATGACAACCCTCCCCAGCTTCATGACAACCCTCTCCAGCTTCATGACAACCCTCTCCAGCTTCATGACAACCCTCTCCAGCTTCATGACAACCCGCTCCAGCTTCATGACAACCCGCTCCAGCTTCATGACAACCCTCTCCAGCTTCATGACAACCCTCCCCAGCTTCATGACAACCCTCTCCAGCTTCATGACAACCCGCTCCAGCTTCATGACAACCCGCTCCAGCTTCATGACAACCCTCTCCAGCTTCATGACAACCCTCTCCAGCTTCATGACAACCCTCTCCAACTACATATAAACCCTCTCCAGCTTCATGACAACACTCCCCAGCTTCATGACAACCCTCCCCAGCTTCATGACAACCCTCTCCAGCTTCATGACAACCCTCTCCAGCTTCATGACAACCCGCTCCAGCTTCATGACAACCCGCTCCAGCTTCATGACAACCCTCTCCAGCTTCATGACAACCCTCCCCAGCTTCATGACAACCCTCTCCAACTTCATGACAACCCTCTCCAGCTTCACGACAACCCTCCCCAGCTTCATGACAACCCTCCCCAGCTTCATGACAACCCTCTCCAGCTTCATGACAACCCTCCCCAGCTTCATGACAACCCTCCCAGCTTCATGACAACCCTCCCCAGCTTCATGATAACCCTCCCCAGCTTCATGACAACCCTCTCCAGCTTCATGACAACCCTCTCCAGCTTCATGACAACCCTCCCCAGCTTCATGACAACCCTCCCCAGCTTCATGGCAACCCTCCCCAGCTTCATGACAACCCTCCCCAGCTTCATGACAACCCTCCCCAGCTTCATGACAACCCTCCCCAGCTTCATGACAACCCGCTCCAGCTTCATGGCAACCCTCTCCAGCTTCATGGCAACCCTCTCCAGCTTCATGGCAACCCTCTCCAGCATCATGGCAACCCTCTCCAGCATCATGGCAACCCTCTCCAGCATCATGGCAACCCTCCCCAGCTTCATGGCAACCCTCTCCAGCATCATGGCAACCCTCTCCAGCTTCATGACAATCCTCTCCAGCTTCATGACAACCCTCTCCAGCTTCATGACAACCCTCTCCAGCTTCATGACAACCCTCTCCAGCTTCATGACAACCTTCTCCAGCTTCATGGCAACCCTCTCCAGCTTCATGGCAACCCTATCCAGCTTCATGTCAACCCTTCCCAGCTTCATGGCAATCCTCTCCAGCTTCATGGCAATCCTCTCCAGCTTCATGGCAATCCTCTCCAGCTTCATGGCAATCCTCTCCAGCTTCATGGCAATCCTCTCCAGCTTCATGGCAACCCTCCCCTGCTTCATGGCAACCCTCCCCAGCATCATGGCATCCCTTCCCAGCATCATGACAACCATCCTCAGCCTCATGACAGCCCTCCCCATCTTCATGGCAACCCTCCCCAGCATCATGGCAACCCTCCCCAGCTTAATGGCAATCCTCCTCAGCATCATGGCATCCCTTCCCAGCATCATCACAATCCTCCCAACCTCCATGGCAACCCTCCCCAGCATGACAATCCTCCCCAGCATCATGGCAATCCTCCCCAGCATTATGGCAACCCTCCCCAGCATCACGGCATCCCTTTCCCAGCATCATGACAACCCTCCCCAGCTTCATGGCATCCCTCCCCAGCATCATGACAACCCTGCCCAGCATCATGGGAACCCTCCCCAGCATCATGGCAACCCTCTCCAGCTTCATGGCACCCCTCCCCAGCTTCATGGCAACCCTCCCCAGCTTCATGGCAACCCTCCCCAGCATCATGGAAACCCTCTCCAGCATCATGGAAACCCTCTCCAGCATCATGGCAACCCTCCCCAGCATCATGGCATCCCTTCCCAGCATGACAACCATCATCAGCCTCATGACAACCCTCCCCATCTTCATGGCAACCCTCCCCAGCATCATGGCAACCCTCCGCAGCTTCATGGCAACCCTCCCCAGCATCATGGCATCCCTCCCAGCATCATGACAACCTTCCCAACCTCCATGACAACCCTCCCCAGCATGTCAATCCTCCCCAGCATCATGGCAATCCTCCCCAGCATTATGGCAACCCTCCCCAGCATCACGGCATCCCTTCCCAGTATCATGGCAACCCTCCCCAGCATCATGGCATCCCTTCCCACCATGACAACCCTCCCCACCTTCATGGCAAGCCTCCCCAGCTTCATGGCATCCTTCCCCAGCATCATGACAACCCTGCCCAGCATCATGGCAACCCTCCCCAGCATCATGGCATTCCTTCCCAGCATCATGGCAGCCCTTCCCAGCACCATGGCATCCCTTCCCAGCATCATGGCATCCCTCCCCAGCTTCATGGCAACCCTCCCCAGCTTCATGGCAACCCTCCCCAGCATCATGGAAACCCTCTCCAGCATCATGGAAACCCTCTCCAGCATCATGGAAACCCTCTCCAGCATCATGGAAACCCTCCCCAGCATCATGGCATCCCTTCCCAGCATCATGACAACCATCCTCAGCCTCATGACAACCCTACCCATCTTCATGGCAACCCTCCCCAGCATCATGGCAACCCTCCGCAGCTTCATGGCAACCCTCCCCAGCATCATGGCATCCCTCCCAGCATCATGACAACCTTCCCAACCTCCATGACAACCCTCCCCAGCATGTCAATCCTCCCCAGCATCATGGCAATCCTCCCCAGCATTATGGCAACCCTCCCCAGCATCACGGCATCCCTTCCCAGTATCATGGCAACCCTCCCCAGCATCATGGCATCCCTTCCCACCATGACAACCCTCCCCATCTTCATGGCAAGCCTCCCCAGCTTAATGGCATCCCTCCCCAGCATCATGACAACCCTGCCCAGCATCATGGCAACCCTCCCCAGCATCATAGCATTCCTTCCCAGCATCATGGCAGCCCTTCCCAGCATCATGGCATCCCTTCCCAGCATCAAGGCAACCTCTCCAGCATCATGGCAACCCCTTTCTCCCCTTGCAGGGTCGCTATGTCGTTACAATCGTCCTATTTGATCTTAAAATTGTAATAAATTATTTTGGTTTGTTGACAGAGACAGTCTTTAATTAGGCGCCATTTCATTTTAAGCAGAGCCTCACTTAAAACGAAACGTTGTACGTACTCCCCCAATTTGGTTTCACATGTGGTGGTAGTGGGGGGAGGGGGTTTTCGCCTCTCCGCTCAGTACCTACGTAACCAAATTCCACCTCCAACACATCTATGATTATACGTGAACAAGCCAGTGACTAAATATGTTCTCTCTTGTTAACTCCTCTACGGGAAGCGAGTCTCGCCACACCTCTACCAAACTCATCTTCTCTACTCCCAATGGCTTTATTAAGCCTTTTATTTCAGACCTCTATCTTTGTTTTTTTCCTCAACTTCAACTTCCTCTCCTTCTCAACCCTTCCACTCTCCTGTCCTCTCCTCCTCAGCTCCTTCCCGCAGCAACGGTTTTGCTTAACACAACGCATACAATTAGTCAACATTTCAAGTTCTTTGGTTGACACGCTTCTGTGTGTGCAAGTGAGCACGAGTCTGGCAACAACACTAGTCACGTGAGAGAGAGAGAGAGAGCGATAGGGGGGGGGGGGCGAGAGAGAGACGCAAAACACGACACTGGAACACCTCACGTGACTCCACTGTTGACTGTGTTTGTCCTCCTCAGCTGGTTGTGGGTCTAATCAACTGGCCGCAGCTCGTACCTGCCAGTCAACTGTGTGTGAGGATACGAGGCGGGCCGGGAGATGGAGTTCATTACTAGCACGAGTGCATGAGAGTACCCTTGTAGAAGACCCCGATATTCATGATTAAGCGCTAAACCCTCAGGAGCCATGCATAAATTTTAGTTTCTTGTCGTTCGTATTTTTTTTCTTAAGAAATTTGTCTCTTGGCTCAAGTTTTACCGAATTAATTTTTATCACATTTAAAGCTGAAGGACTCGTACAAGTTTAGAGCTTTAATGTGAATAATAATAACGCAGCTTTAAAGCGGATTACGTGGTCTCTCTCTCTCTCTCTCTCTCTTTCCTTGTCTTTAGCACTCATTTCATCTTTTCTTCTATTTTCTTCTGCCAGTTCCTTTGTCAATGTGCTCTCTTCTTTCGCTTCTTCCATCTCTAGGTTTTCATTTCTTACTCTGTCTC